CTACGTTCTTATGATTCGGACCAACTTAATAAATGTGCTACTGAATGCCTTCAAAAAATGGAGATCATCAGAAACAGCAGTAAGAACATCAAGGGAAATTTTTCTGGATACCTGAGAGATGGGATCTCAAATATAGGAGAAATCCTGGATATCTATCGTGAACGTTTGTGTGCCTCTGGAGACGTGGCAGATCTTGAGCTGCAGAATAGGAACCTGACTACACAACTGCGCAAAGTTACTCGTGAGCAGGAACTTCAGAAGAAGGAATACTCCATTCTCCGTAAAGAGAACGAGGATCTCCGCAAAGACATAGAAATGCTCCGTAGAGAAATGGAAAGTTTGAGAGACGGTTCGAACACGAGAGGATCTCCTTCAAGGGCTTCTGAAGTTAAATCTGCCGATGTTCGCAGGACAAACTCTGGGGAACCTTTAACTCGCGTCGAGGACTTTCCTCCTCTCCCACAGAGAAAACCTCGAGTTATCTCCTCGGAAATATTACGAGATAGAACCGTTAAGCTGCGCAAATATCCTACCAGTGCCTCGGGATCGGAAACGGATGCAATTGGGGCTCCCAACTTACATAAGAAGAGATCTCCTTCCGGTGGAAACAGGAGAACGGACAGAGAGACTAATGTTGTCTACCCGGATGAGGATACCGATTCGCACCACATGCTGGAACACATGAATCAACAGATCCAGCAACTGGTGGCCAACATGGAGGTACTTCGTGCCAGGTTCGGTTCGAAATCGGAGGAACCTCCGAAGAAGAAGAGGACAAAGAAAACATCTTTTAGGAACGACACGGAAACCTCCGGTGTCTCGGATGGAGAACTTATTGGTCCACAGACTCCTTCACAGCCTGTTGAAGAAACGATTCGGAAGGAGGGATCTCGACGTGGGGTCTTCAGAGACACCCCTCGTTCGACCGTTCGCTCGCGTAGACCGCCTAAAACCGCTGCGGTGTCTATAACAAGCCTTAAGGACGACGTCAGCTATGCTGACATCCTGAAAAAGGCCCGCGACAATATAAATCTAGATTCTCTTGGAATTGAGACCTCCAAGATTAGACGTGGCATCAATGGAGGGATTATAATTGAGATCCCGGGTGCTGATGGCACTACTAAGGCTGACTCACTCGTGGGCAAACTCAGGGAGGTCCTCGATATTAACAATATCCGCATCACTCGCCCGACTACCATGGGAGAACTGCGAATTTGGAGTTTTGATGACTCCATTTCGCCAACAGAGATTATGAACGAAGTCTCTGTGGTGGGTGACTGCGACGAGCACCTTGTCAAACTAGGCAGCATTCGAAAAATGAACAATGGACTCAATTCTGTTTGGGTGAAATGCCCCCTGTCCGCAGCCATCAAAATTTCGGCATCAAACAAAGTCAAAATCGGTTGGACCATTGCCCGAGTGGAGCTACTGGAGGCTAGGCCTGTTCAATGCTTCAAGTGTTGGCGCTATGGCCATGTTCGCACTACGTGCAATTTCCCGGAAGATCGAACGGGCGCTTGCTTCAGGTGCGGCGAACGCGGTCATCAAATTGGTGATTGCAAAGAGGATCCCCGTTGTGTTATTTGCAGGGAGGCCGGAAGACCCAGCGACCACCGGCTGGGCTCACTTAACATTTGCACGAGCGTTGAGCCGATTCGGGGAAGACGTGGGGGACCCGTATCCAGCGGTCGAGCGGCGGCTCAGAGATAACAATGACTCTATGCCTACAGTTAAATTTGAACGGTAACAAGGAGGCCCAGGACCTCCTTGTTCACCATTCCAGAAAGATGGGAGCGGCTGTCTGCGCGATCTCGGAACCCGCCAGAACACATAGCTCATATCAGTTATGGTTCCATAGCCATGACGGCCTCGCGGCTATCTACGTCAACAACAGGGCCACTACACGCCCTGCTACGTTGGAGGCCCGCGGGAGACATTGCGTCTTAATTAGACTGGGAGAGTATTACTTCCTCTCATGTTATATCTCTCCTAACGTAAACCTTACAGAGTTTTCGGACTTCCTGGAGGAGTTGTCCACTATTTGTTCAGGCGTGGCTCACAATAACAAGCTTATTATCTGCGGGGACTTCAATGCCCACTCGGTTTCCTGGGGCTCTAACATATCCAACGTCAGAGGCAACGCTGTTGAGGAGCTTGCGTCGCAACTCGATTGGAGGCTTGTGAATCGAGGTAACCAGCCCACGTTCTCGAGTCATCAGGGGACTTCGATAATTGACCTCACTTGGTCCTCCCCTGATCTTTTCAATAGAGTTCGCGATTGGTCGGTCCGCGAAGACTTAGAGTCCATGTCGGACCATCTATACATCTCTTTCGTGATTACGGACTCTTTTTCTCGGCGTACAATTTCATCTATTCCCCGAAGATGGAACTTCAGGAAGATGGATGTCGGACTATTTCAGGAGGCCATCGAGTGGAAGTGCGCAGTTACTCCTGGTGACCCGGAATATCTCAATAGAATGGGCCCAGATAAGTAGATCAATAATTGCATCTACGACGCTTGTCAGGCGGCAGTTCCTCGCCTACGCGCTCCCAGAGTTGATAGGGCCCATTGGTGGAACGATCAAATTGGGCACCTGAGAACAGAGGCTATCGCCGCGAGGAGGGCTTGGACCCGCGGTAGACGCAAAGACTCTCCGGTGATTCTGGAGGCCAAGAGGATTGCGTATATGGCTGCTACTCAGAGTCTTAAACATGAGATCCAAAACGCCAAGTCCGCGGCATGGCAGGAACTCATCGACACACTCAGAGATGATCCATGGGGTCTTCCTTAGAAATTGGTTATGGGTAAACTTAGGAAGCCCACCCCCGCGCTCAGCTCCACCCTTGAGCCGGAGGTTTTGAATCATTTGTTGGACGATCTATTTCCACCTGGTAGAGAACTTTCACGGGTTAATCTGGGAGATTGCGAGACGGATAGAACTCCAATCACTTCTGATGAGGTGGAGGAGGCAATTGCAGCCAAAAAGACCACAAGCACAGCGCCTGGTCCCGACGGTTTCAAGGCATCCGTCCTTAAAAAGCTACCTCCGTGCATGGTGCACCGTTTAACAGCCAGTTTTAACATCTGCATGCAGTCTGGGGTTTTCCCATCCAATTGGAAGGTTGCGGACCTTGTTTTGATTCCCAAGGGGGACACTCCACCTCGCGGTGAAGTTTCCAAGGCTAGGCCAATCTGCCTGTTAAACGAGACTGGGAAGGTCTTCGAACGAGTCATTGCCAATCGCTTAGCCAAACATCTTGAGCAGAATCCCAGGCATGATCTTTCGGCGAACCAGTTTGGCTTTCGTAAGATGCGCTCTACGACGGACGCTCTTTTTCTAGTGAAAAATATAATTACCGAGGCCCGCGCGAACGGCCGAGTTGTGCTTGCCGTTTCACTAGACATTAAAAACGCGTTCAATTCTATAAAACACTCAAGAATTAGAGCTGCCTTGAGGAACAAGCGTCTTCCGCAATACCTTAGACGCATTATAGAAGACTATCTGAGGAATAGAACTATCAGATACACCTCATCAGACGGCACTAAGTGCACCAGGCGGGTCAACAGAGGAGTTCCCCAGGGCTCTGTGCTGGGTCCTCCACTATGGAACCTGGGTTTTGATCAGGTGTTGCGTACTTTGCTTCCGGGCGATTCCCACGTCGTGTGCTACGCCGACGATACTTTGTTGCTTGTGGCCGAAGAAGACTTTGACTCCGCGTGTGCCCTCGCGTCAGAGTGTCTAGATAGTCTTATGGTAAACATAAGAGACCTTGGTCTGTCTGTTTCTTGGCCCAAGACAGAGGCTGTTTTCTTCGGTCACTGCCCGCGAAACTCTGTTTTCGCCTACGAGGGACAGAACATCAGAATCTCTGCTAGCATGAAGTATCTCGGAGTCATCATCGACAAGAACTGGGCATTCAATTCACATGTGAACTACGTCGCTGAGAAGATTTCAAAGGTAAATCGTGCTTTATGCGCGATCCTACCGAATCTCAGAGGGCCTGTGGAGAATAAGCGCCGCTTATATTACTCCGTGGCAACATCCATCGCGCTTTATGCCGCCCCTATCTGGAGTGAGGAGTTCCTGTCTTCTGAGAACAAGCAGAGATTGATGCGTCGCGCACTTCGTCTCTCAGCGTTGAGAACTACGATGGCTTATCGCACGGTCTCGTATGAGGCGGCCACGTTACTGGCCCGTGTTCCGCCTTTACACTTATACGCGGACTTCTTGAGAAGAACGTACCTTCGCCACCGTAGGATGAAAGAAAACGGGACATACAACGAGGTGTCGGCTCCTGCCGTGCGCCAGGAAAAGTGGAATGTGCTGCGCGACCAATGGCGCACTCACGTCACACGTGCCAATCTCCCCGGTAGGAGAACTCGAGAGGCCATCGCTCCTAGCTTCGACGATTGGTTGGATCGCAGTGCCGGCTTCCTTACATACAGGATAACGCAATTTCTAACAGGCCACGGATGCTTCGGCACCTACCTGAACAGAATCGGTAAGGAGGATACTCCGATATGCCGGTACTGCGATTCGGAGGAGGACACCCCGGAGCACACCTTGGAGGTGTGTCACTATTGGGCCTTGGAGCGTGGCGAACTCACCGCTGTTATCGGACAGGATCTCTCTCTGAGAAACATTATCGCGAGAATTTGCAATTCTAAAGAACGTTGGAACGCGTTCTCGGTCTTCGTCGAGCGGGTCCTCCAGCGTAAGGAGGAGGACGAGCGTATCAGACAGCAGCAAGCCCTTGATCAGGGATAGTCGCGTTGCTAATGTTTTCATTGCGGCCTTGTCATTGCGTGCGATTATCTCTGTGTGCGATTATTTATTCTCTGCGTTTTATTATTTACATACCTGTGTGCGGACGGGGTTCTCCTGTCGCTTCTGGTTTGCTCGGGCGCGGGCCGGTTTTGGCTCTCCTCCCCCTGGGGTCCGGTGCGTCGCTTAGGCGACGCTCCCGGATCCCTGGGGGGTGGTGGGTGGGGGGCGGTCGGCGTGCGGGTTTTCCTCTGGGCGGCTGGATGGCCCTGTAACTTAGAATAGTATTGGTCTGTATTATACACAAATCTATTTAATTATCTCTTCCGGGAGCTCCGCTGCGATGGGTTGGGGGCTCTTTGGGGGTCGGCCGCCCGTGGTCTCGCCGCTCACCGCTGTGCTTGCGGGGCTCCGGCCCCACTGCTCCGCAGTGGGTTTGCCGGAGGCCCCGTTGTGGCTGCGGGGTGCGGGTGGTCGTCCTTCTGGGTTCCCTCGGCCTGCGGCGGGACTCTAGGAAACTCTTCTCTTTTCGCGCCCCTCCCTCTCCCTCTCCCCCCCTTCTGGGGGGCCTGGGGGCGGGACGGGCGTGATCCCTACTATAGCCGTTGTATCGGCCCGTGATGCGGACTTTGTCCGAATGTTTTCCCGGTGTTGGGTTTATGTTAACCCTCAATGTTAACGAGCATCGCTCGTGTTTTGATTTGTGTGGAACCTCCGGGAGGGGGGTTCCTGTTCGTTTGGTACGTACTTGTCCTTTGGTCCTGTGCGTTCTTCCTAGGGACGTCCGTGATTCCCTATGGAATGGCCTCGCAGCCGATGAAGAGTATCCTCAATGATATGACTGGCCGCGGTCACTATCATGAGGACCTCTGAGGCGGTCGAACATTGGCACTTGTGCCAAATTTTCGACTAGTGCGTCATCCCGGCGGGTTTCACGGCGCCCCTGTTTGATCCTTCGTGTGATCTTGTCTCCGGTTTACGTTTTCTGTCGCCTCCGCGAGAGGACTGTTGTGACACGTGACGTAATACCTCGAGTCTCCCGCGTGTCGTAACTGTTGTCCAGCGTGCTAAATGTTTGGGAGAGGTTTTTTAGTGGGTGCAAGCCCCACATATCCTGGGGGACGGCCCCCGGTAGAATGCGCGAGGCATTTTTCCTCTTCCACGAAACAAAAAAAAAAATATAAAAAAAAAAAAGGTTAGGTTAGGTTAGGTTAGGTTAGGTTATGTTAGGTTAGGTTAGGTTAGGTTAGGTTAGGTTAGGTTAGGTTCCCTCCCCTCAAGGGGGTGGGGGGTTCTCCAGGGGGTGGGGGGAGTCCTCCCGGAGCCTCTAGGGGCCCGGGGGACCCCTCCACTACGGGTTTTGCGAACCCGGAGTGCCCGAGCACACCAGTACCGTAACCCACGGCATTCCGCAAGGTCTGTCGTGGACCGGGGAGTCCTTTTCAGGACTCGCGAGGCAGACTACCTCTATAAACAATTGTCCGGTTCGGTCGGGACCGTGAGGGAAAAGCCTTTGCTTCCCCAACCGGCCAGGGAGGGAGACCCGTCGGGCCGCTGGGACATATTCCCAGGTCGGGGCCGGCGGGTCTGGTCACCGGACGTAAGGGCCGGT